CTGGCCCATTTTTGTTCTCAGCCAAGTTTTTAACATATTGACAAAATAATATAAAGTAGCAGATATGGATAATATAAGGATATAAATTATAAGAAGTGGAAAAGCCAAAAAGTGGATGTGTGGAGTCGAAGAGAGTAGTAAAAGAAAATTACAAAGAGAGAATATAACCACTATTACTAAAAATTAAATACAGAGCAATTAAGTATATGCCACATTCCGAATAATGAAAACATTTGTTTCAAGGTTGTTAGTAAGGCTTTATACAGTCGAGTTGCGATAACTCGAAAAACTTGACAACTTGATTTTTTTTTTATTCCCCTAGAACCTCGTTTACCCTTAATTCGGGATGTTAAATCAGTTGCAAGTCGCAAGTGTACGAATAACGATTGTAAAGCCGCGTACACACTTGTAACATTTTCTGTTACGCTGTAACGCCGTAACACCGTTCCACAAGTTGTCGGTAAATTGAGTCGCATCAAAGGATGTTACGCGCTAATGTTACAAGTTGTCTTCCCAATAATGGATGATATTTTTTTGAATGGAAAATAGGTTTAATTTAATTAAAAATAGTATTTTGATTTAAATACGAGTATAATTTTTTTCCGTGCAAAATATTTAAGGCCAATACATTTTTTGTTTCTTAAATTATTGGTAGCTATACTTTATTTCTCCGTGTGACTTTTTAATATTATATTTATGGTGCTACCCAAACCCAACCATTTGTTATGACTTTTGATAGTCATATTTTCATGTATTAGATCATTTAAAGAAAGAAAAAAATCAGTCCCTCCTGAAGTACTATTTAAAATTTTTCAGTGCACACGCATATTACGCTAACTCCCGTGTCGCGTAGAACAAGTTTCAAATCCTAACGGATTTTCTCCGTGTTTCTATCTACTCACACAAAATCGCAGTTACAAAAATGACGACTGAATCGTAGCTGCTGCCACTGTCAAACTTTTGCTTATTACCGTCGCTACGGTGACCTTTGGACTCTAATTAATTAACAAACTTAAATGAACCATGCTCAGACCACTCCCCCGTTCTGCTGACAATTGACACGTTACTCCCCACTAAACCTCTCCCTCCGTCCCTCACGAATGGCCATATGGATTGGGAAAACTTCCAACTTACTCTAGATAAACAAA